AGCATCAATTCTTTGGTGCTCAGCTTTCTTTATGGTCCAACTCACATCCATACATGACTACTGGAAAAACCACAGCTTTGACTATACGAACCTTCGTTGGCAAAATAATGTCTCTACTTTTTAATATGCTGTCTAGGTTTGTCATAGCTTTTCTTCCAAGAAGCAAACATCTTTTAATTTCATGGCTGCAGTCACCATCTGCAGTGATTTTGGAGCCCAAGAAAATAAAGTCTGTCACTGTTTCCGTTGTTTACCCATCTGTTTGCCATGAAGTGATGGGATCGGATGCCATGATCTTTGTTTTTTGAATGTTGAGTTTTAAGCCAGCTTTTTGTCTTTCACTTTCATCAAGAAGCTCTTTAGTTCTTCACTTTCTGCCGTAATGGTGGTGTCATCTGCATATCTGAGGTTATTGTTATTTCTCCCGGCAATCTTGATTCCAGCTTGTGCTTTATCCAGCTCGGCATTTCACATGATGTACTCTGCATAGAAGTTAAAAAAGCAGGGTGACAGTATACGGCCTTGACGAATTCCTTTCCCAATTAAGAACCAGCCGGTTCTTCCATGTCCATTTCTAACTGTTGCTTCTTGACCCGCATACAGGTTTTTGAGGAGTCAGGTGAGGTAGTCTGGTATTCCCATCTCTATCAGAATTTTCCACAGTTTGTTGTGATCCACACAGTCAAAGGCTTTAGCATAGTCAATGAAGCAGATATTTTTCTGGAATTTTCTTGCTTTTCCTATGATCCAGCGGATGTTAGCAATTTGATCTCTGGTTCCTCTGCCTTAGAGGCATGTGGTCTAAAATCAAGGTGACAGCAGGGCCTTGCTCCTTCTAAACAGAAGGGGGAGTCCCTTCTGCCCCTCCCTTGTTTCTGGTAATCTGCAGGCAGTCCTTGGCATTCCATGGCTTGCATCTGCAGCACTGTCTGCCTCCCATCTGTGTATCTGTCTCTTTTCCTCTTCTGATAAGGAACCCAGTTATATTGGATTAAGGACCCATCCTCCTCCAGTACAACCTTACCTTAACTAATTGTGTCCAAAATAAGGTCACATTCTTAAACACTGGAGGTTAGGACTTTAACCTGTCTTTTTAAGGAACACAGTTCAACCTATAACAGGAGATCAAATAAAAGATTGACTCACTTACAAAGGAATAGTAATTAGACTGATGGCAGACTTATGAACACACAAGGGAAGCCAGAAGATAGTAGAATAATGCCTCCAAGTGCTGACAGAAAATAACTGTCATCAGAATTGTGTCCCCAGTAACACTGATGGATGAGATCAAGGACAGAATAATAACAGTTTCTAATAAACAAAAGCACATGGTTTATTACCAACTGATCTTCATTAAAGGAAAATCTAAATGATACTTCAGAGAAAAATAATCCTAGAAAAGGGTTTGAAAGACAGCAAGATGATAATCAGAAAAATTCGTGAACATGGATGTATCTAACCAGACACTATTTGTCTGTAACTTCCCAAAACTGACTGAAGAAGTAGTAGAAGTCTGAATGTTCCTTTAGAAAAGAAATTTGGTTTGTAGTAAATCAATCAAAAATCTTCCACTCAAAAAAGTGTCCAGAATGTTTTATAGATCTGTTTCTTGGAAATATTCAAGGAAAAGTTCATTTTAAACTTATTCCAAGTCTTCTAGAGAATTTCCCCCCCACCCCGAAAAAATAGAGTGAGAGAAAATTCTCCACTCCAACTCATTTAGGGAAGTTATCAAATATTGATACAAAAGCCAGACAGGGATAGTATAAGAACATTAAATTACAAAGCAATCATATGAAGAAAGGTGCAAAGATGTTAGTAGCAAACTGATAAATTGTATTTAAAAAATAGTATTTTATAACTAAGTTGAGTTTACCCAAGTGTACAAACGTGAATTAATATTAGAAAACCAATGCAATTTACCATAATATATTGAAGAAATCATATCAATAGATGCAGAAGAAATATTTTTATGACAAAGAAAACTTAGCAAAATGATTATGAAGGAAAGCTATAATAAAAAGTTATTTATAAATGTGTATAGCAAACTTTTTTTTTTATGGAAAAACAAAAAAAGCATTTCTTTAATTTAGGGACAAGACAAAGCCACTGCTGTCACTTCCATCAGTGTTCTATCCTCATCCTAACTAGCACACTAACACAGGAAAGGAAATTTATAAGGATGATAAAGGAAGAGATATAACTATTACTTTTCACAGATGATATGATTGTCATCTTAGGGTTTTCTGCATTAAAAAATTGACAGACTAGGAACTTCCCTGTCGGTCTGGTGATTAAGACTTCATGCTTGCACTACAGATTCAATCCCTGGTTGGGGATGTAAGATTCCATACGCTGGGTGCTATGGCCAAAAAAAACACACAAAATTGACAGACTGAAATCAGACTTACTAAAATAATTTAGTACTGTATCTAGATAAAAGATAAATATACAGAATCAAGCATATTCTATGCCCTAATTAGAAAATCTCATTTTAAAAAATGATAACCTGAGAAAAATACATATGCATGACCCATAAGCATATTACTGTAGATGGTGACTGCAGCCATGAAATTAAAAGACACTTTCTCCTTGGAGAAAGCTGTGACAAACCTAGGCAGTGTATTAAAAAGCAGAAACAGCACTTTGTCAACAAAGGTCCATATAGTTAAAGCTATGGTTTTCCCAATAGTCATGTATCGATGTGAGAATTGGACCACTAAGAAGTCTTGGTGATGAAAAATTGATGCTTTCAAACTGTGGCATTGGAGAAGACTCTTGAGAATCCCTTGGACAGGAAGAAGATCAAACCAGTCAATCTGGAATTTTGATACTAATTTTTAGATACTAATTTAGATACTAATTTAGATACTAATTTTTAGAAATTAGTCAATTTCTAAAGGAAATCAACTCTTAATATTCATTGGAAGAACTGATGCTGAAGCTGAAGCTCCGATACTTTGGCTACCTGATATAAAGGGTTGACTCATTGGAAAAAAAACTCTGATAGTAGGAAATGGTAACCCACTCCGGTATTCTTGCCTGTAAAATCCCATGGATGGAGAAGCCTAGTAGGCTTATAATAGTCCATGGGGTCGCAAAGAGTTGGACACGACAGAGGGACTTCACTAGGAAAGATTGAGGGCAGGAAGAGAACGGGACAACAGAGGATGAGATGGCATCACCAACTCAATGGACATGAGTTTGAGCAAATTCTGGGAGATAGTGAAGGACAGGGAAGCCTGGCGTGCTGCAGTCCATGGGATTGTAAAGAGAAGGACATGACTGAGACCTGAACAACACAAACATATGACAAGCTGCAACTTATGATAGAAGAAATGTGAATTAATTACAGTAAAATATCTGTAATTAGTAGAATGGGAAAAATTCAAAATCTTGACAACACTCTGTGGGTGCGGCAGTAAGGAAAAAAACAAAAGAGAGAGACCCTCATACACAGCTGGTAAGGATATAGAATGGTGCAGCCCCTCAAAGGGGTCATTAAGAATTATCAAACAAAACTACCTGTGTGCACCTTTTAACTCTGCTATCCATTTTCTAGGGATTTACCCTGAATAGGCACCTCCACAAACATTACACAACATACACATAAGGTTACCCACTCAGGCGTTATTTGTAGTAGCAAAACATTGGAAACATAGTATAAACTATGATAAATATATACAATAAAGAAATGCAAATATAATAAACCTATAATGGAAAAGGATCTGGAAAAATATACATACACATGTGTATAAATATATATTAACTTTTACTGTACACCTGAAACATTGTAAATCAACTGTACTTCAATTTGTAAAAATACAGGGGTAAAAACAAATGAGAGATTTCTGTAGACTGATAAAAGAGTGCTGTATAGGATACATTGTTAAGCGCAAAAGAGCATGTAGTATGTTACCTTTTGTGTAAGAAAAAAAAAGGAAGTGTTTGCTTATTTTCCTGAAAAGAAACACAGGAGGGATAAACCATATATTAACTGTTAATTATTTAGTATGATAAACCATATATAAATTATCTCCTATATAAGCCTGCTAGGGCTGCCATAACATACCACAGCCTGAGTGGCTTAAACAACAGAAACTTTCTTGAAGTTCTGAGGTTGGAAGCCCAGGACAAGGTGCCAGAAAACTTGGGGCTCTGGTCAGGCGTGCTTTCCTGGCTTGCAGATGGCCTCCTTGCTGTGTCCTCACTTGGCCCTTTCCCCATGCAAGTGTACAAGGAGGGAGAGAGTCTCAGATGTCTCTTCTCTTAAGGACACCAGCCTTCTCTGATCAGAGACTCACCCGTATGAGCTCATTTAACCTTAGTTTCCTCTGTAAAAGCCCAGTTTCCAGATAGAGTCACATTAGGGATTCCTGCTTCACCATACACATTTTGGTGGTGGTTTAGTCACTAAGTCGTGTCCGACTCTTATGACCCCATGGACAGTAGCCTGCCAGGCTCCTCTGTCCATGGGATTCTCTAGGCAAGAATACTGGAGTGGGTTGCCATTTCCTTCTCCAGGTGATCTTCCCAACTCAGGAATCGAAGCCAGGTCTCCTGCATTGCAGGCAGATTCTTTACCGACTGAGCTATGAGGGAAGCCCAACTCATTCTGGAAGCCCAATACACATTTTGGAGGAACACAAATCCGTAAGTTACCTCTGGGATTTGAGGGGAATGGATGGATACAGTAATGAGATTTCTCGGAGTGTATCATTATTTATAAGTTTTACATTTTTAGTAACATAAATGGTTTACATATTTTAAATGTATGACTTCAAAAAAACAATGAAGCAATGAACCTAATTTTGTCAAATTGATATGTAACCACATTGACAAAAGTTTCGTTTAAGTCACTTTTGAACATAGTGTTCTCATGTACACCCTCGTAGATAGTCTGACAACTACAAAGAAATTTTGAAAGTTACTTCGGTTTGTTATTGGTAGCATCGGTGGAATAGCAGTTCTGGGACTTGTTCATCTTTTTTTTTTTGTAGAACAGAGCAAACGAGTGACTATACTGATGTCGTTATGTGAGGTAGGAAGTTCACATGTGGAATGGGGGAAGAGGAAGAGGAACCCTGCAGTGGGATTTGGATTGAAGGTGTCCGTGTGAACTGATTTTCCCCTGGACCTGTCCACTCAACGGTCTGCAAGCAAAGAAGTTCCAGTAGCAGGGACAACACAGCAAGAGCCAGGTGATACCTGCACACAATGTGGGATGGGTTACAGAAGAGGAATCCCGAGTTAGGGAGCTCCGGGTTTTTATAACAGGCTGCATGCAGACATGCCTGACTTTTGCCTTATGCCTTATAGATATTATCTTATTATACTGAATAATAATAATCTTGTTCTGGTGGGATACATTACCTCTGAACTCCAAGGCTACTCACTGTCAACTTTAAGAATAATATAGGTCATTATGTCACCAGCAAAATGAGTTTATTTGGGAATAGCTAGAGGAATTGCAATTCAGGAATGCAAGCTCTGGCAGACCATGGGCATCAGAGAACAAAGGAGGGAAACCTGCTATTATAGAGAAATTGGGGTTTAGGAGGGGCTGTTCTAAATGAAAGTTCACTGGAGGAAAGTAAGAGTTCAGGGTGGCACTAATTCCTCATTGACTGAGCTGCAGAGTTTTCCATTGGATGGGCTTGTTGCTGGGTGAGAAGAAGATCTTCCTTCCTCCTCCTGGCTTGTAGAGGGACCTTCTTGCTGGAGATGCAAACAGATCTGTCCTATTTGGAGTAGTTGACAAGGAGTGTTAGGGCACGAGAGTTCCCTCTAAAGAACTTCCTGACTTTAGTTGTAGTTGAGGTTTCCTGTGTTAATTTTCACATCATTATTCAAATACTTTGAAAAGATAATTCAAAACAAAAGGATAATTTGTGGCTTTCCACTCACAAGTCATGAAGAAACATTCAGTCATGGAGAACTATCTCTCAGTAGCCAGTTTGTGGGTCATTCTACAAAGCAACCGGTCATAGTTCATTAAAAATATTAATGTCTGGACTTCCCTGGTGGTCCAGTGGATAAGAATCCACCTGCCAACGCAGGAGACATGGGTTCAATCCCTGGTCTGGGAAGATCCCACATGCTGCAGAGCAGCTAAGGCCATCCGCCACAACTAGAGAAAGCCCACCCAGCAACAAAGACCCACTGCAGTCAAAAACAATCATAATGAAGTAAAAGCACTTTAAAAGTATTAATGTCCAAGCAAATCTTGTTAGTGTCCTGCCCACATTCCCTCAACGTTTCCACCTCAGTGTGCTCTCTTGGTGTCTCTCTTCCAGATTTTGCATTTCTTTGCCTGAGTGTTTTTTGCCTGAGCTGCTGTGTAAGGCTGGTGGGGAATCAGCTCCTTTAGGAGCAGCATGACCAATGACTGATAAAAGTTAGAACATAGATTACCCCAGGTCCCTTGCCTTCTGTGTGGGTAACTCTGAGGCACAGGTTGTAACTAACTCCGTGAGTTCCCCAGCAGTAGAAAGCAACTTCCTTCCATCATAACTGGCTTGATGACACACCCTGTTGTTTGGTCTCTTTCCCTGTCTCTCTTCCCTGTGACATTACTGGTGTTTCCTGAGTTTACCTCTCAAATAAGCTACTTCTAGTTGAATCCTTGTCTCAGGTCCGTTCTAGTAGAACTCAAAATAAGACATGTCCCTGTGGAAATGTCAAACACGCAGTCAGATGTGAGTCTGGAATTCAGAGGAGAGGTTCACACAATTTGTGAGACATCAGCAGAAAGATGGTATTTGTTCCAGTTATCTGTTGCAACGAGAGATTACCCTAAAATTTCGTGGCTGAAAACACCACTTTTTTTTTTTTTTGTAACTCACACTTCTGTGGGTCAGAAAGTCAAGCCTGTCAGCCAGGCAATTCTTCTGTTCCACAGGACATCACCTGAGGTCAGTCATTCCATGGTATTCAGCTGCCTCTGCAGGTAAAACTGTGAGCAGAGATAAGAAACCAAAGGTGTCAATGGGGATGAACTAAAAGCTCTGAAACTTCCAATAGTAAGAGGCCATCGAGCTGAGGAAGAGCCAGCAGCAGAAACTGGGCACTGCCTGTATCGTATGCTGCTGATAAATCAACACACATTAAAAACTGACATTGTGAACATCTGTTGGGACCCAGAGATATTGAATAATGTCCTCCAAACTTAGAAGGAGCTTTGTGACCAAAACACGAAGGAGGCAACCCCATGAAGTGCAGTCAGGAAGTTTATGTTTGCCACTTACAGGCGTGATTCTGTGGACCAGCATCCAGGGGCATTCACAGCTGTAGTCTGTGTCACCAGAAGGGATACCGGGACTGGAAGGGGCCAGGCTAAAAATAGAACCTGCTACCAAGTGGGAAGCACGTCCACAGTGATGGGAACCCAGGGTTTTTCTTCCCCTAGGGGTGTCTCGTGATCATTAACCACCTGCATCAGCACAAGGCATTCTTCCAGCTTCCATATCAGATGAAGGCAAGGGTAAATGTTGATAGGAAACTTAGAGGACCCGGATGCATTCCTGTGAGTGAACTGCAGCTCAATCACATGGGAAGGGGAGGGTTGGACTGGGGGCCCAAGATGGGGCTGACAAAATGGAGTCAGTATGGTCCAGCCACATGGCATCACATGGACCATGACAAGAGTAGATATTCAGGTGAGTCAGTCGAAACTGATTAATTGGTTCAAGGGAGGATGGAATGGGTGGAAATAGAATTGTGAGTATTAGCAGTTCTTCAGAGAATTTCTGTTATAAACAGGAATGGGGAGATGCGAGGTCAGCATTGTGCTCCCATGTCCCTTTCTCCTATTCCAAGATTCCATCTGACATCATCCACTTCTACACTTCTGGTTTGGGACTTGTACATGGAGGCATACTGGCTGGTGTGATAGCTTCAGATCCCCCTTTATTACCTGTTTTATTTGCATAATAAGACGATAACTAAACTTTAGTAATAAGTATCTCCTACAGCACTTTTTAACTCCAAAGCTGCAGGGAGGAGGAGTATGAGTATGGTTTTTTTTTTTTTTAATCATTATTTCACCATACACAGTATTACCTAACTTTACCCATTATATTTGAAGTTTTTATACCTGATAAATGTCTGTATTTATGTGTATGTGAAAAAGGATTTGCCACAGTGAGGTTAATAGTCACAGTTTTATGTCAAATTAAGCAGGCACAAATAATAGAAGGCATTAATAGCAGAGTCTCAGGGGCAACACATTTCAGTTCAGTCGCTCAGTCATTTCTGACTCTTTGCGACCCCATGGACTGTAGTAGGCCAGGCTTCCCTGTCTGTCAACAACTCTTGGAGCTTGCTCAAACTCATATCCATCGAGTCGGTGAGGCCATTCAACCATCTCATCCTCTGTTGTCCCCTTTTCTGAGGGTCTTTCCGAGCATCAGGGTCTTTTCCAGTGATTCAGTTCTTTGCTTCAGGTGGCCAAAGTATTAGAGCTTCAGCTTCAGCATCAGTCCTTCCAATGAATGATCAGGACTGATTTTCTTTAGGATTGACTGGTTTGATCTTCTTGCAGTCCAAGGCACTTTCAAGTCTTCTCCAACACCACAGTTCAAAAGCATCAATTCTTTGGCGCTCAGCTTTCTTCGTGATCCAACGCACATCCATACATGACTACTGGAAAAACCATAGCTTTGACTAGACAACCCTTTATGAGCAAAGTAATGTCTCTGCTTTTTTAATATGCTGTCTAGGTTTGTCATAGCTTTTCTTTCAAGGAGCAAGCGTCTTTTAATTTCATGGCTGCAGTCACCATCTGCAGTGATGTTGGAGCCCAAGAAAGTAAAGTCTGTCACTGTTTCCATTGTTTACCCATCTATTTGCCATGAAGCAACCAGATGCCATTATCTTAGTTATTTAAATGTTGAGTTTTAAGCTAGCTTTATCACTCTCCTCTTTCACCTTCATCAAGAGGCTCTTTAGTTCCTCTTCACTTTCTACCATAAGGGTGGTGTCATCTGTATATCTGAGGTTATTGATGTTTCTCCCAACAATCTTGATTCCGACTTGTGCTTCACCCAGTCCAGCATTTTGCTTGATATACTCTTCATAGAAGTTAAATAAGCAGGGTGACAATATACAGCCTCGATGTACTCCTTTCCCAATTTGGAACCAGTCCATTGTTCCATGTCCAGTTCTAGCTGTTGCTTTTTGGCCTGCATACAGGTTTCTCAGGAGGCAGGTTAGGTGGTCTGGTATTCCCATCTGTATCAGAATTTTCCACAGTTTGTTGTGATCCACACAAAGGCTTTAGCTTAGTCAATGAAGCAGAAGTAGATGTTTTTCTGGAATTCTTTTGCTTTTTCTGTGATCCAAACGGATGTTGAAAATTTGATCTCTGTGGTTCGTCTGCATTTTCTAAATCCAGCCTGAACATCTGGAAGTTCTCAGTTCACATACTGTTGAAGCCTAGCTTGGAGAATTTTGAGCATTACTTTCCTAGTGTGTAAGATGAGTGCTGGGGTCCATATTGTGTCTTAATCTATCCTTGCCCAGTTTCTTTATTGAAACTGGAGACAAAAATAGTAAAGGTGTTATAAAGATTAAATAGGAAAAGATCAATGCATGTAAAGTACTCAGACTAGTGCATGTGACTCTTTGCGACTCTATGGACTAGTAAACTCTTCCTGAGTACATAGTGGAGCTTCCCTGGGTGGCGCTCGTGGTAAAGAATCCTCCTGCCAATGCAGGAGATGAGGCTTCAATCCCTGGGTCAGGAAGATCCTCTGGAGAAGGACATGGCAACCTGCTGCAGTATTCTTTCTTGGGAAATTCCATGGACAAAGGAGCCTGGCAGGCTACAGTCCATGAGGCTGCAAAGAGTCAGACACAACTGAGCACCTGAGCACACATGTACACAAGTATATAGTAAGTCCTTGATAAAGTTAGCTAGTGTGTTATTACTGAGCAGTGAATCAACTGTCAGTAGGAGAAGGCATGACTTACAGTGGCTTAAATAAGAAGAGATTGTTCTGATCACCCAGCAGGCACCCTGGAGCTAGGTGGTGCTAAAACCAGCTCATCTCTACAATGCCAGGGCTTTGCCCCGTGTCAGTTCCCTTAAACTTTCCCTTGTGATTACACTCCCGCCAGTCACCACAGTCTCAAACAGAGGCATTCAAAGGCAGAAAGCCGAAGGCAAGGAAATAATTTCTGCTCTGGTGCCTTTCTCTCACTAGGAGGGAAACCACTTCTTAGTGAGTTGTGTTCTGTTTTTAAGACTGCCTTAGTTTGAGAAAGCCCTCTGACTAAGAAATGGAAGTGCTGGCTGTTGATGGTCCTAAGTGCACCGAGATGGTCCACGCAAGGGGCAAGATGCAAGAGGCACCCACTTGCCACTGAAAGGGCATCTGATGTTGGGCGTGTACTCGCTGGAATACTACTCAGCCACGAAGAAAGAAATGATGCCGTTTGTAGCAACATGGATAGACCCAGAGATTGTCATACTTTGTGAAATAAATCAAGACAAAGACAAATATCATGTGATATAACCCACATGTGAAATCTACAATATAACAGAAATGAACATATCTTCGAAACAGAAACAGCCTCAGAGACAGAGAACAGACTTGTGGTTTCCAAAGGGGAAAGGGAGTGGGGGAGGGATAAATTAGGAGCTTCAGATTAGCAGATACACACTGCTATATATAAAACAGATGAACGACAAGGTCCAACTGTATAACACAGAGAACTATATTCAGTATCTTATAATGAACTATAATGTGGAAACATGTTTTAAATAAAGGGCATCTGAAATCTTACAGATTCAAGAACAAACTTCTAATTTCTACCACCAGATCTGCTCTTCCCCATCTCAGTAGCTGACACTCTATCCTTCCAGTTATTCAGACCAAATGCTGGAGTCCTCCTTAACTCCTCTTTCTTAAACGTCACATTCAACTAGTTAATTAATGCTGTCAGACCTGCCTTCAGATTCTATCCAGAATCCAGTCACTCCCATCACCCCTGTCATTACCGTGCTGACCCAACCCACCATCATTCCTCACCTCCATTATTTCCATCCTTTTCTGACTGCTCTCTGCTTTCTCCCTACCCCCACTGTCTTTTTATAAGCTAGATCATAATTATGTCACCTTCTGGTTCAAAACTCTCCAATCTCACTCAGTAAAACCCGGTTTCTTCTCATGGCCTACAATTCCTCTGAGAGAGTCAGTCCTCCTGACTCTGACCTCACCTGCTCCTCACCTTCTAGCTCATTCTGCCCGGCTGCACTGACTTCCTTGCTGTTCTTCAGTCTTGCTGAGCATTGTCCCACCTCAAAACCTGCTCCTCCTGATAAGCACACAAAGCTTGACCCCTTCCCCCGATTCCTTCAGGCCCCCTTGTCCCCACTATTGCCACCTTCCCTGACCTTTTCCTGTCCTCCCTGCCTCCCTACTGTTTCATTTTTCTCCATCTGACTTGCTGTGTATGTATATTTATATACAAGGATGTAGTGTGCTTCTTGGAGAAGGCAATGGCAACCCACTCCAGTACTCTTGCCTGGAAAATCCCATTGTCGGAGGAGCCTAGTATGCTGCAGTCCATGGGGTCGCTAAGAGTTGGACACGACTGAGTGTCTTCACTTTCACTTTTCACTTTCATGCATTGGAGAAGGAAATGGCAACCCATTCCAGTGTTCTTGCCTGGAGAATCCCAGGGACGGGGGAGCCTGGTGGGCTGCCGTCTATGGGGTCGCACAGAGTCGGACACGACTGAAGCGACTTAGCAGCAGCAGCAGCAGTGTGCTTCCTTACTTTTTTCCTATCTCTCCCACAGAAATGTAAGTTCTGTGAGGGAAGGAACTTTCTTTTATTACCTGTTTTAACCCTAGTGCTTGAAACCTGGTAGGCACTTGGGGGAAAACATTGCTAAATGAATGAGCAAACAATGCTGAACATTCGGGTTATTTAAGCTTTGTACAAAGATTTGTGCATATTCTTTCCATATTTTATGGCCGATACCTTTTGTGAATAATTCTCAAAATGAGAAGGTAAAGACATTTTTTGGCTTCTAGTAAAAGTTACCAAACTGCTTTTCAAAATATTTAAGCCAGTTAAGTAGAAGATGGGGGCTTCCCAGGTGGTGCAGTGGTAAATAATCCACCTGTCAATGCAAGAGATGTGGATTCGATCCCTGGGTCAGGGAGGTCCCCTGGAGTAGGAAATGGCAACGCACTCCAGTATGCTTGCCTGGGAAATCCCATGGACAGAGGGGCCTGGCGGGCTACAGTCCATGGAATCACAGAGTTGGACACGACTGAGCCCAAGCAGAAAGAACCAGCTATGTGATGCTCCTGTTAGACATTCTTGGTTGAAACTTTTCCATGTGTTTTGTAGGAAAGACTAGCAAAATTGATTATTTTTCCATATTTATCTGTAGCCATCAACAGTGCTGTTGTTTTTTTTCCCTTCAGTTTTATTGAGATGTAGTTGACATACAGCAGTATGTAAGTTTAGAGTGTTCGGCCTAATGCTTTGACTTACATACATCATGAAATGATGATCACAGTAAGTCTAGTGAACACCCATCACCGTAAGCAGATAGAAAAATTAAAGACAAAATGGTTTCCTTTTGATGAGAACATCAATAGTATACTTAAATAAATTAATATAATATTACTTTAAAAAATTAAAATCTCACCCACAGGCTTTCTCATGTTCATTCACCTTTTTGGTTCTGACCTATCCTTGTTGTTGTTCAGTCGCTTAGTCATGTCGGACTCTGTGACCCAGTGGACTGCAGCACGCCAGGCTTCCCTGTGCTTCACCGTCTCCCGGAGCTTGCTCAAACTCATGTCCATTGAGTCAGTAGTGCCATCCAACCATCTCGTCCTCTGTTGTCCCCTTCTCCTCCTATCCGTAGTGACTTTAATTAAAGGTGAACTCATCAACCAACTTTAAACACTCCTTCCTGTTTTCCTGCACTAAGGGTCGTAGTGACTTTAATTAAAGATGAACTTATTAACCTATTTAAACACTCCTTCCTGTTTTCCTGAACTAAAGGTCATATTGGCCTCACAAGTTCTGGATTCTAAGTCCTGTTTATTAGCATTTATCTTACTTGTAGAATTCTCACACTGGAAGGAAAGGCAGTTTTTTCTGCCTCCTTGGCTATGCCCTTTTAAAAAATACCAGGCCCCTCCCCACGATATTTTCTTTTTCCTGTTAATATGAACATATGTATAGACTATATATGACCACCTGAGTATACTTTATACAGTTGTATTTTTTCTGTCTTTGGCTGTGCTGGGTT